CGTTTTGTTTTATACCTTTTAACACAGTTTTTTATAATTGTTTTTACTTCCCACGTCGACTGGCAAGGAAGTATTGTGATCGCGAAAAATTTAGAAAATGAAGTATATCTATATTTTAGATGTTATATGACATGTACATCAAAAACAACCATGTCACTCAATTCCGTCGGTCTGTCTGTCGGTCTGCCTGTCGATCTGTCTATCTGGGGTCTGTCTGTAAGTCTGGATGTGGGTTGGTCTGTCTGTCTCTCTGTCGGCTTATCCTTGATCAAAACGGAGTAATATAAAAATCGCTCAAACGTCGTTCCAGAGGCTTCTGATCATGTTGCTAAAGCTTTTTGAAGTGGTTTAAAATTTTGGGTTAGGGGTTGCCGAGGGTGGAGGAAGGTATATACCCTCAAAACTTAGAAATAGACAGCAGTGGCCTCCGTGCTGTTGGGGGCTGTAAGCTGTAGTATAGTCATCCACACGGGATTATTCATAGGGAGGAGGAGAGTCCTTTGATTTTTTGCTATACATGTACGTAGCTAACTTTTTTCTCATACATAATCCTGTAGGATCTGATGACAGCGTTACTTGACGCTATTTTTTATTGAGTTGCTTTATACCATAATTTAAACACTGTAGGTATGTATACTAATTTCATATCAATATAGAGAACTGAAAGGGCAGGTGACTGAATCTTGAATAATTGAATATATACCATCCATCAACTATGCTAAATGGACAAATTGGTCGATGAAAATAATGTCCGACTAAATTATGCATTAATTTTCTACGTAATTTAATTACAAAAGAGGAAAATATAGCGTGCAGGCGTAATACAGACTGCCGTAGAATTATGAAAGTAATTGGCGCTTATTCATATTTGGCTTTAATGCATGTATCATTGCTAACCAGAAGTATGATTACATTAACTACAATGGTATTTATATGTAATCATACATAACACACACTTATTTCGTCCAATTGTAATTCATCATCATTATTTAATTTGTCCTATATGATCTGAGTACACGAGGGGTTTCGAAAAAGTGTGTTAATGACAAATATTTCTTCGTCCTTTTTTATTTTATCTGGTATTAGAATGGAACAGATGTTGACCGAGCCGGGTTAACGCTACATTGGTTGATTCTGCGGATGTTTATGGTCCATTGTCTGGAAAATGCAAGTATACCATTCTATACCAAACATGACACCGATATTATCCAGGATCAACAGCTGATCACATATCCATAAAAATACATCTAGTTTTGAAAATAGTTATTTTGAATACTACATTTTTGACGTGATTGTAGAAAAATCTTATCAACTCAAGCAAAACGCTGTACTCCTGTCAAAAAATTGGGATTCCACTCGCCTCATCTCATCTCAATCGGTATATTCCTTTATCGCTGTTTACTCATCCTCCAAATCATTCTGAAATGGTCCATTCGGAAATATATTATGATTCGGTTTTATTGCATAATATTTATCAAAAATGACTAAAGGAACCATTTCAACCAATATTCCTATATCTGGTGTTAAAATTTGTATGAACATTTCTTATACAAATTCAAGAAATTGCATCATTGGCTCTATTTTTTTTGTTTTTGGATCTGTCCGAACAAAAAAGCTTTTCATGACCTTATCTTCAAAGTTGATAGCTTTCGAGATATGAGCGATTTAGTATTTGAAAAAGTTTGAAATATACCTACCATTTTCAAATCCGAAAAACAGTACTATGAAAAAAAGCAATTTTTATGTAACCAAAAATTATAAATATTCTTTAAACATTTTTCAATAAAATCTCGGAGTATTTTAGTGGGTATTATTATTGAAAATCTGTTTTTAATTGTTAATTAAGCACGTTCACCTATTGAGCGCGCGCCTGATCAATTTAATACCAAAGGTGAGATAAAAAAAATAACCTCTGCCTTCCTGCTCTTCTTAATGGATCTTTATTAGGTTTGGCAATATTACAATTTTCGTTTTTCATATCATATCTCAAACACTATTCATTTTAGAAAGTTTATAAGCACCTGTTTTGTTTAGAATGCTCCAAAAATCTGTCTAAAGGAACATTTTTTTAATTTGTTCAAGAAAATGTTTAACCAAATGATGGTGCAATCTTGGGACTGGCAGCATTAAGCTCCGTTAAAATAGGAGGTTACTTTTGAATAACATTATACAAAAAAACCGAATCATTATATTTTTCTGATCGAGGTAAAATTAAATCGTACCATAGAGCACTTTCATCTACCTTTTACAGTAATTCTAAGAATCTCCCAGTATCTAAAACCCTTTAAAATGCTCGACACCGGCGGCTTATCTGCCCTCCTGCATCATTGATTCGGTCCGTCAACAATGGTGTTATTTTTTACGCTAATGACAAGAATCAATCACCGGGCTTCTATTGTTTCTCGTCTGACGTTTTGTCAATTAGCCTGGCATAGCTCCCGGTCTTCGTCGAAAGAAAAGGGCATCTGATAAGGCGGGCTTTTTAAGTGACGAGAGCCTTCGTGTCGATCTGAACTTGAGATGCGCATCTATTTGTTAGATAAACGTTGACTTAATTTATTACAGGGCAAAATTTTGTCTTTGTTCCGCTGCATGATGTTACCTTAGGAACTCGTTCAGTAATGGTTGATACTTTAGATTTTGCTAGTTTTCCATAGGATGATAAGACGTAGAGAATTAGCGCATAAGCTGTTCCATCAAGTTGAAAAGCCCCATATAGGGTGTCGTAGGATAATGCATATAAAACAAAAAAATATGCCACATGTTTCGATAAACGATATCCTGTTTTTGTTCCACTGCCACCAATTGCGTTAGAGACAGCGTTGGTGTCTGAAATGTTTCCCAGTTTGCTTTCTTCTATACCACTACACCTTCTTTGGCCTATTTTTTAACTTTGTTAATACTATTTTTTATTCTAACATGAAACCGTCCATGCTTCAAACATCACAGTTATTGCGTTATAGATCGTTCCTCGTCAGGAGTCGCTGGAATTCAAAAAGGGTGACAAATACTCCGCCAAAAATTATCGTCCACTAAGTCTCGTTCCTATCGCCGCCAAAACAGTTGAACATCGATAATCAACAACCTTCTCCGCTGTCTCAACGATTAGACACAGTCTCTGGCCACGAATACTCCAGTCGTCATAATATCACTAGATTTCTCCATGGCTTTCTATCGCGTCCCGCATAGAAAACTTCTTTTCAAGCGGTAGCGTGTTGGAATTAGAGGCGACCTGCTACAGTGGATCGATGCCTTTTCCACTCCGAGACCTTTCTGGGCGCGTCAGTGACAGCCACTTTTCTCTCCATCGTATGGCAAGCGGAGTTCCTCAAGGTTCAGTCGTGGGTCCGGTGATTTTCCTTTTGTACACAAGTGACCTGCTCGCCTAGCTATCCTCGACATGTCCTACTTGTGCCGATGGATTTACAACACCATTTAAAACTCTGCTCAGAGAGATCGTGACATTGTTCGTCAATGGCCTCACAGTTGGCCGGACCTTAAACCTATTGAGAGAAAACCAATCCGCGGCTCGTATACAAGATCTGCAATCCTATCATCTAAGCCGTTTCCAGTCATTCTGATCTTGTTGTAGTCAACGATCGTTTAACCTGGTCAGAGCATATACACCTCGTTACAACAAGCTTTTATACATGCTGGATAGGTTCTTTAAAGGATCTGACGTCAACATTTGCGCATTCATTTAGAAGACATTTGTAAGGCCGATTCATGGAGTTGCTGACCCTGTATGGAAAATCGTTGGAAATCTCCTCGGAACAGTAGTACGTCGAGCAACTCGAATCTCATTTGGAACTTGCAAACCCAACTATGAAGAGCGTCTCGAGTTATTCCACTTGACCACACCCTCCGCACGAATAATTCGAGGCGATTTCATAGTTATCTTCAGATTGGCACTAACATGAAGCACCTATACCAACTGACGCGCAGTTATCTCCGCGATCACAGCTTTAAGCTGCAAAAGAAGCCGTTTAGAATGACAGTCTGTCAATGGTTTCTACCCAGTCGTTTCTTCAGTGAATAGCTTCAAAGTGTATTATGATAGGTGGAACAGCGAACAAACCTTCTAGCTATGAACTCTTTATTTTTACTTGATGTATTTTACGTTACGTGTCCGTAGACTACGTTTTCCTTTTGTGCATATGCTTATTGTATTGTACTCTGCCAAGCCTACATGTTTACATTTGTCGCCAATATTGCGTAGTTTTAATGCGTACTTTTAACTCAATTGTCTACCATTGCCTACCAAATTGCGTTCTATCAAAATAATAATAATAATACTTACATCTACCTTCATTAGGCTTGTGCCGCTCCTTGCAAATTATGTAAGAAGTACCATGACTTGAAATCTTCTAACACAACAGTTATCTGCGAACACTCGCTTTTTTGAAAATTAACATTAAGGGCCGTATCGTCAGTCGTTATTACAATTATTGTAGGATGCCCTTATGGCCTCCTTGATTTTCATAGTTTTCTACTCTTCCGTGTCAGCTCTCTATTTTGAGGTTATGTTACAAATATCTATTTGCATCAAACTGTTCATGATTTTGATTTATATCATCTATTATATAGCTTGAAATGTCTTACAATTCAAGAAGAAAACATAGCCTGGAAGCCTGGAAATATATGAGAGCGCTGTCGCTGACACGGAATAGTAGAAATCTAGAAATATCCCAGCCTTTCTGAAGACCATAAAAATCAAGGAGGCCATAAAGGCGTCCTACAATTGTAGGAACTACGAAGAACTGTCAAAACTTGACTGATGTCAAGTGCACTTTGATCCCTAACCTGATTATGAGAATAAGGGAACAAAAAACCCTTGATGGGCTTTTTCTACCCAGTTTGAATTCATTGGTCAGAACCAATCCAGCTGTACTTCTCATATCCTTGCTAACCTGACATCCCCTAGACGGTTCCTTTATTAATAGTTACCTACCGAATGTTTGACTCGAATACAAGCTATAATCTCTTTCTCCTTGTTCCAGGTCCTCGATCTCGAAGGATAAAGAAACAAAGCAAGAGCAGCCCAGAGGACAAAAGACCTCGCACAGCCTTTTCCAGCGCTCAGTTGCAACGACTCAAACACGAATTCAACGAAAACCGGTACCTGACGGAGAAACGAAGGCAACAGCTCAGTGCTGAGCTCGGCCTCAACGAAGCCCAAATCAAGATCTGGTTCCAGAACAAGCGGGCTAAGATCAAGAAGTCTAGTGGTCAGAAAAATGCCTTGGCATTGCAATTGATGGCTCAAGGGTTGTACAACCACAGTACGGTACCTTGTGATGAGGATGATATGCCATTAACGACGTAGGTGGAGTTAAATTATTTGTAGGAAATTGTGATGCCAGTATATAATAGAGCTAATTTTTAATAACAATGAAGTTGTGAACAGCAAAACTGTTACGCTTTTGCGTCTAATCATTGACTAAGATATTCCAACCCAACTAGACGTGCCTACGTACGTTTATAAATATACCTGGCGACCACCGTCTTTAGCCGTCAGCACTGCCAGCTCTGAAATTGTTGCCGCAGACTATCGGATTTGCTTCTCTGTCGATTAGAGATTCTGAGCATCAATCTCTTATGAGTGCACTAAAAAAAAAGCTTAATTAAACTACTTAAAATTTTAATTAGAGCAATTAAAAAATTTAAATTAACTATATGACAACTAAGACGCTTAATTCGTCTAGTTGCACTCTGGTTTATAAAACAGTTTACTTGAATCTGTGAAACTAGCTTATTTAAACCAAAAACGCAATTGTTTAATAAAATCTATTAAATCGCTTACATAGACTGAGTACACCAAATAAAATTAATGACTATTAAAATGAGTTTTCTTTGCTAAAAATAAAACAATTTATTACATTCATTAAATTTGTTTAATTAGTTTAGGTAAAAGTATTTGCCGAGTTTTAATGGATTATTTTATTTAGACCTAAGAGGATATTTGGATATTATTTGGAATTTAAAAGAACACATTGCATTTTACTGAATGGTGGGTATTAGGACTGCTCTGACAAATCTCAGATATAAAAAAATTTGGTAAACTTAATATATTTATAGTTGATGTTTTTGAATCAAAATAAAAACGTCCGAATTTTGTAACCCTAACAGAATTGTGAATGTATCCAGCATTAACTAGAAGCAATTCTTTATTTTAAATTCATATAGGGATACCTGAAACTGAATGAGGCCACTTGATCATGTGTATAGAAATTGCTAATAATAAAACAATATCGCACTCACCCGCATTCAACGCAAAGAAAAGCACATTAAGCCTCTGTTACGCACTTCATTTTACCTAAACCGAATAATTTAGTTACTTAGAATAATTGAAACATTTATTACGGTTAACGAAAATTTTCCAGAACAACTGTTGGAGTGACCACGTTTCCGCGGTGTGATCTTTCAAAGGAAGGTTGCTATAATGTTTAAGAATAAACAATGTCCTTCAACGGGAAAATGTAGTTGTCTGTTTTTAATTCTTCTAAGAGCATTTCTACGATCTTTCTTGGCAATATGGGTGTGACGATGGAAGCTGTAAGTGAACGTCAAAATACAGTATATGGTTCCGAATCTTGGTAAATCCGTGAATCAATGGTTTAACTTATATAAAAGTTATTCAGTGGAGATTATTGATCTTGTTAAGTCTTCATGGTTCCACCTACCATTTTAAAGATTTAGCGATTTCTCAAAATTTTGATGTATCTGAAGCTACAGATACCGGTCATATAGATAAGTATTTGAATGACGTGAGACTTTTTAAAACTTGAAAACAGTTTCATAGCTAAAATATTTGTAACTGTATTATAAGCTAGTTCATTGTCGTGTATTAGTCAAGACCGGATTAAAAATAAATTTCCAATAAGAAATGCACTGTCGACAAGTTTTATTGAATTGAATTCATTTAAGAAGGCTCTGTAAATGAATTTATGAATAAGTAGTCTTCATCAACAAGATTACACCTTGTTCAGAAATAGAGTGAGCATAACGAGTTTTTCTTCTTCTGATTAAATATGTTCTATAATGTATTAATTAAAAACTGGGATACATGTTCTCTTCGTTTTTTTTTTCTTAATTTGTTAGGTTTCTGATGCAACTCGACTTAATTATCATGTTGATGAAATCGCTTCAGAAAAAATGTTAATAAAGAAGAAAGAGGTGCTTCAGACTGACATGAACATATGTTTATAACATAAATCAAAAAGACCCAGCTTAAACCGCTGCAACTTGTAGTGTTCCTCTGATATATTTGCCACAAAATTATTGATTTCACTCAAGTTTATCTATTTTACACATATTTAAAAATGTAACTTTTGTTAATTTAAAGAAGGAAAGAATGATATCCTAGATTGTATTTCTCATTATTAAGAAAGAGTTTATTTATTGTAAATATATTAGTAATTATACGGCGTTATGAAAGATCTCAGTATTTATTTGTACAAATTATTTTTTATTTTATTTTCTTTTTCTGTAAATAGTGTACAGTGTAAAAAATCATCTATATTGGCATATCACTATATACGTATACATGTTGTATAAATATAACTATTAAGCTAATATTGGCAAACAGTTACATCAAACTTGTATATTTTTTACGGTATTTTTCCAGAATTTTGAACAGAAAATTGGTGTCAACTGTGATTCAAACGTTTTTATTTCTTTTTCCAAATATACAAGTTTGCATGAACCCTCTGATGTGTAATGATGATACTACTTCGATAACTTATCATGGCTTTTTAAAAGTATATCTTTGTAAAGCAAATAATATGTGTAAAGTCCTCTTTGTACACAATGACTCAGAAGATGCTTCGCCGTCATTGTCTTCAATGCTTCGGTGCATATATAAGTATTTGTTAATTTCAATTGTGCCAGGTAGAAGAATTCAAGGCGCACTTTATTTTGAGACAGTGTGTACAAGGTACGAGTTGCGTGTATTCAATAGTAATTAATTATTACAGCTATTCATAGTAACGCCTTCAAGATAGACTGATCGATAGTTTTAGTATCATGTGCAATGTTTATGTGTAAATAGTGTTATATTAATACGAATAATAAAAACCGTTCTTCTCTTATACGTTGTTTTCTTTAACATATAGTATAACAAAAAACTTAAATGTATCAATTCAAGCAGGCACATATAATTTGTCAAAACCCGGACATATTTTCATATAAACATTTCCTCATAAAATTATTTGAGGAATCAGACCTTGCCGCCATGTTGAAAATATAGGATTCATGCATCACCCCAAATGTTAGCTTGGTAACTCGACCTGTTCAAGAAATAAAACAGTAGTGAGCATGATTCTTCTCAGGATTTTTACCAGCGTATTTGCCATTTCCTGTAGTGCTTTATGTATCTAACAACCTGTCTGCCGCTACTTTTAATAAGAAACCTAATCAAATTTTGCATTCTTTCTGTTCCATTACCTTGTCAAAATATGATGGTTCTTGTATAGGAGCTGAACTAACCTTGAATATAGCAGAGTTAACACGTTTATCTACGCTTCAGACGATTGCATTATTATCCTGTTTTGCTGACTTCGTCTAGAAAATACAGGGAGCTCTCACTGCTGGGACTCTTATACACAGTTCTTGTAAAAATAACCAATTCTTCCAGTAATACATATACCAACTGCCATTGGCGGAATTACATAAAGTTTGCTTATAGCAAGCTTACTAATACGAGCAATTAAACTTATTCGGCGATTGAAAATTGAGGAGCAGGGGGGTGGTGGATTCAGGCTGAAGCAGTAAGTACCATAACGATAAAGCGTCGGCACGATCCATGTCTAGCAAGCTAATGTTTGAAAAAATGGCAGGATCGGGCACCTAGGGGGTCGCCAATGCAAGATTTGAGCGTGTAAATGATGTCCTGCCTTCTTTGCCAAGCGTCGTGTATGTGTGTGTGTGGTTTACAAATCGGAATTGAAAAAACTGAACCCTCTCCAACAGTAACTAATTTGCCAATATGATGTTAGTTTACGACGAATATTTCCAAGATACTGCTGATTCTTTCCGAGTGCATTCACGTCGTTTTCCTGGTATTTTCCATCTCAGGTTGCGCTGGTTTTTTCAACCCGTACAAAAAGTTCAAGTTCAATCACAGGCCGTTTGCATGAATATCAGGGTGGGTATAGTGGAAGATCGAAGCAACCCCAACCAATAGGATTAACTTTGAATCTCTGCATCTTTTAAACTAACCAAGAACTCTTGACTTAGGGATATTTTTGTGTTGAAATGTTGTGAATCCTTATGACTTTTTTTCTACAAGCTTCCGACTTGATAGCGGTAGATGGAACTGCACTAAATTGGACTCCTTCCCTAAACCGGACCCTCGGCAGTACATTATCAGCATACTATACTCTATTATTTCCAATTATTGTGAAAGGTAGCTTAGACATCTACCCCCGCATTGGAGCTCATAAGGGGGGGACGGGGGGTACAAGTAATTATCCCCCACCAACGACTTGAGCTGTTTTTGATAAAATGTAGGTATACATCATAAATATTTAAGTTTGAGAAGAGGTATTGGAAACACTGGCGGCACGTTGGTGTGCGTCTGTGACTAACTACCCTTTCACCATAAGCGTGCTTGTCGGATAAGCATAGCTTCCATATTCTGGATTGATCATGGTCATTCCTGATTTATTTATCGTCTAGTTTCATTATTATCTCGCTCACTATGCTTTTCAGTATCAGTCACAATTATAATCAAGCACCATCAAGAGTCAAACTTTAGTAGGTACTAGTTATGGCTCAAACATGTGAGAAGCAAAGTGGTTGGTTTCAATGCATTATTATAGGTGTAGATTGTCTTTTTGCTTTCGTCGCATAAACCGAGAAAAGTATTGTGATCGCTATCGCGCTAATTATTTATTGAATTTGAAGTACCTATCTTAAAATGTCTTGAAATCTCTGAATGACAAAAATGATTATATCGGAAATACTCGTAGCCAACTAAATTCGATCGTATCGTGAAATCGTCAACGTTTTACAATTTGGTTAACCACAATTGATCAAGTCGCAAAAACGGGTGTCCATAGAATACTTAATAAAAATGTAGTGACAAACTCGTTCACTTTTCTTCCAGTTAGACAATCATTTTGATTACTAGTAAGTTTAGGAAATTAAAATTAAACATTCTGGAATTACACAATTTTATCGGATATCTCAAATTAAGTTATTGAAGTTTTAGTCACCGTTCTTGGCGGTTATATCATCTACGCCATATGAAGTAAGTATATAGTTCGAGTCTCCGTACCATGGGTGCAACACTGCGCAAACTAATCTTCAGCGCATCTGCTACTCTCTCCAGTACGCATGAAGTAGGTAACAGGGGACCGCTGTTTTCATTCTCTTCCTGGAAATACTTTAATAAATTTAGCACGAGCTGTCGGCCTCCTCCATTGATCATATCTCCGGGCATTGTACAATTTTATATAGAAGATTGATAACAGGACAACTCGAATTGCACGCCGATGTCAAGTAAGTTGTGACTCTGACAAATATGATTAAAGGGCGCTCATACGTAACGACAAAGTTTTCGAGACGGAGACAACTAAAAAACGTTTGTCTTTGAGCTTAGCGAACAAACGTTCACACACAAGGGTAGGTTGCATGTGTATGTATGAGGGAGATGGAGATATGTAAAGGGATACTGGTAGTCCTACTTTGTCCCGCCAAGAACGGTGACTACAACTATACCTCGCATGGTCATCCTATTCTGCTTTATTTGAGGTATAACCTAAACATGAAATAAAAATTAGACTGAGTTTTACATAGTAGTTCAATAGACAAAAATCCAATTTAAGCGAATAACCAAAATTTCTGTGTTATGTACCGCGGTTATAATATGGTTGATAACATCTGTTACTCGAATCGCTTGGACGCATTGGTTTTAACCGCGGTTGTGATGCAAGTTGTTTATTTTAGAAAATCGCGTATATAATTTCTGATTGTTTTTATTATTACTTAATAATCGGAGCTTTTTCGTCTACAACACTGTATAGAAAGTTTGAAAAAGAAACCATTTTAAAATTAATGGCAGAAATGCTTTCTTTCAGAAAAAAAATGTTTAATGATGGAATCATGGCTTTGTAGCTATGATAACCTTCAATTCCCTAAACTTTTCCGCATGTTTCAAAAACATTTATTGATTTAGCAGAAAAGAAAAAAGATATTAGCAAAACCGTATATCTAAGGTGGTCATTATACAGTGAGTGTACATGGCCATGTTTTAATATTCTTGTGGTATGTGGTTACACAGGATTCCTTGTTAAGCATAAGAACTAGATTTAAAGTGTCCCCAACAACAGTGATGAGTATAACTAATAAGCTGCTCTACTTTATGCTAAAACTGAAGTCAGCCTGTATCAAATTTCCCAAAAATGAAGCTAAAGTATACAACAAGAATGTCCAAAACTCGCCAGAATTCTAACTTGTCACATTTCAAATAATAAACAGTTATATAAAACAACTCCTGAATTGGGTAAATACCACAATTTTGCGGTGATAACTATAACATATAACATCTGATTCATGACGTCACGGATCTTATAACCAAACTGATAACCACACTCGCTTGAACGGATTGGTAAATACCAATCCAAAATGGTAAATACCATTTTATGGAGAAAATTGAATTTAAGCATTTTTAATTAGGACTTTTTACTTTATTGACATTTTAAATATTTAGTTTAATTAGTTTGTTATTATCTTGTTTTTGCAACAAAGTAATCACAAAATGAAAGAATCACTCCTTAAGGTTAGTTTAATGCAAAGAAAAACAATTTTCAAAAAAACGTTACATGACATCTTTGTCTTCAATTTAAGAGTGAAACATGTTTTGATCTGTATTGCGTGCCCCGCATAGTACTCGTGACTTCGAGTAATTTTATATCGCAAAGTATTTTAATCTATCTAACTTTTTTTGTCATTTGGTAACGAGTTATTAATAGATAATGTTACATTTGGTCGCATTTTTACGATATGACCTCGACATTTTTGGAAATATTTGGTAGCGGAGTTATGACCATAAAACGAAATAAAAAGGCGGCAAAACGTTCCCAAACTTCATTATTCGTCTTTTGCCTGATACTTTTTGGGCATAGTGATTTTTTTAAGTAAAAACCAAGCCTTATTTTCATACGTTTCTCAGTTAAACAATAGATGGGTTCTTAAAATTTGTGAAACGGATTGTTTTGCTTGTAATACTTGTAAACAGAAGAACATAATAGTAACATAAATATATCTAAATTTATTTTTAACGCATATATTGCCCTACATCATCAAATATCTTAGATACAATTCAACCTATGTGTAAGCATATCAAAGGTCCCAGGGAGCAATCCAAAGCTGGTTCTATGGCTAAACATTTATGTCGGACCCGATTTTTTTAACTATTGTATTTTCTCAAAACCAATACCATATAAGTCAAATACTAAAAGGATTTTACGTAAAAGAAGAATTGAATTTTGATTGCGCTCTTTTTAGTTTTAAAACTAAAAATTTATTCGTTAATATCTTCGAAATTTTATCAGATAAACAAGATTTCCACTTTTTGAAACCCCTTTCCATGTTCGTAAATGATAATGGGAAAATCTAATTTTTATTAGAAATCGAATTCTAGAATTGCCTTTTGGGATAAGATGGGATGGAAGAAGGCATTGAA